CCCAAGTCCTTCTCTTCAGAGCTGGTCTTAAACCATTCATCACCCATTTGCTGAAAATGTTGTAGAAGAGCTTGAGAACCAAGTGCTTTGTTTGTCCTCTGACTTCCAGTTTTGTAGCATTTTCTCCCTGTCTTCTTTGACCAAGTTTATAAGCAAACTGTAGTGCCAGGTCTTACATTTCTGTAGGCTGGAGTTACAGGAATTGAATTCAGGCAGATCTTTTGGAAAGGGAGTTTGGGTGCTGTTTTTTTCTCTTTACAGTTGCTTATATTTTTTTTTTTCTGTTTGTTTTGGGTTTTACATTTATTTTATCTTTTTTTTTTTAGGAATTATTCCTCCTCATCATGAATCTCATGCTTTGGTGATGAAGTACCGGAAGGAGCAGTACTGGGACATACACCATGCTCTTTGTGTAATTCGTTTTATTAATGATTCTACCCCCCAGGTAGATGTTTTCCTTCGCATACATCAACTGGAATCAGGAAAATTGCCTCGAAACTTGACTTTTCCATTGGTCAGTTGTCATTTTTTTTAACAGTCTTTTAAAGATAGGATTGTATTTAACTTTGAACTATAAATCTGTGAGAAACTGAACTGCAAGTAGCCCTGCAAATGCACGTAGATAGACAGAGTAAGGTGAATGGAAAACAGAGAAGTGCTGGTATAAAATAAGGGATTTTAATCAAAGTGCTTTTCTCTCTTTCTTCCCCTAAGTACTTATGTAAGATTTTATGCCTTAAAAATCTCTTTTGTGTATTTTGCCTGCTAGGCTTCGATATCAGAGCCAGTACAAGCAGTAATTTACTGCAAATTGCATCATATTTTTAAATTACTTTTTAAAAAAATCTAGACTTTAATATTCTGACCTCCTTTTTCTGTTAACATGAGCTGATCTAGGCTTCTGTCAGGTGATGCATGTGCTCTGTAGTTTACAGTGTACCCACATATGGGTAAATGAGCCTGTTTTGATGCCAAGTCTATAGTGTGGTGATAAAAACAATGTGTGGATCTTATACATAAGCCCCTATGAAAGAGGAGGTGATGAAAGGAGCCATGGGACTTTCTGAAGTGGATTTTATCCTGTATTTAATGTTCATTTATCCATGTTCACTCTAGCCCAGTTTATTTTGTTATTTTTTCATCTGTAATAACAAAATTTGGTATCAGAACTTGAAATCAAATTCAAAATAATCATAGAATCAAAGAATGGTTTGGGTTAGAAGGGTCCTTAAAGCTCATCCAGTGCCACCCCCCCTGCCATCAGCAGGGACACCTTCCACTAGACCAGGTTGCTCAAAGCCTCATCCAACCTGGCCTTCAACACTTCCAGGGAGGAGCAGCCACAGCTTCTCTGGGCAACCTGGGCCAGTGTCTGACCACCCTCACAGTGAAGAATTTCTTCCTAATATCTAATCTAAACCTCCCCTCTTTCAGCTTGAACCCATTTCCCCTTTTTTTGTCATTAACTGCCCTTATGAAAAGTCCTTCCCCAGCTTTCTTGTAGGCAATAATAATAACAGAAAAAAGTTAAACTAAGTTAATATGGGAAATCCAGTAATGTTTTGGACTGGAGGACTGTATACAGCATTCTCTTGTCAGAGAAGGGAGAGTGTTTTATGCCCTTACCATTGCCTAGGAATGTGGCCATCCTACCCTGCAAGTTTCCTCTGGAGAAATTTCCTTCATCTTGGCATATGACCTAGTGGGCTGAAAATGCATCCCTTCTAGAGCAGCATCACTTTCCCGTGCACCCCAGAGCACTAGCTGCTGTCAGTACTGCGATGGGCTTTAATAGAGGTGGTGTTGAGCAGATCCACAGGTATTAGTCCTGTAATTTGTGTTTGTTTTGCTGCAGAAAGCATTTGTTTTCTTTTTTGTGCTAGCCTGTTTTCAGTCCAAGAGCTATCCCCTTAAACTTTCAAGAGGTTATTGCTTGATAGCAATGCACATGTTCTGTTGTGGGCACAGAGGGAGTTGAAAGATGATGTTGCATTGGTCTAAATATTATGAAATGATTGAGTCATTTAGGAGATTTCCATGATTTGTACGTTTTGTGCATCTGAAAGCAGAAAGTTGAAGTAGGGATATGTGTGTATTGCAGCAGTCAATGCAGCAGAGGCATATCCTGGTATATTTATACATATCCTGGTAGTATTTAGACTATTCAAGTGTTTTGCATGAGTTGTAATCTGTGCAAAACCCTGTGATGCTAAATTTTACTGCTGGTGGTTACAGTAGGTCAGACTGTGGATACATCTCTGGGTTGTTACCCTGCCTCCTAATGCCTGTGTAAGAAAGGCTGTAAGAAACAGGGCAATTATAGAGCCCTTCCTTGTGCATCTTCCCAGTTTAGACACTTCCTCAGCTGGAAGGTCTGGTAGGATTAGAGTTAGCTCACCTCCACCTCCACTATGTGCAGTCAAACTCTGGTTTAGGCATGCTGATACTTCTGTTAGGGAAGTATCATCAGGAGAAGAGGTGATGGCATGCCTGTCACATGCTTCTGGTCCTGTATTGTGGGGAGTAAGATACTCATCACCTGGAAATATGTATTTGTCTCTATCACCTGGAAAAGGTTTGTCTCCCTTATTTGTCTCCAGGAAGATGTTTATCTCAAACCAAATGATTTTCTATATGTTGAACATAAGCATACAGGTCATGACTGCATTATTTTCTTCAGTAATTGTGACATCCATGGCAAAGGTGTTTGAGGGACCTGTTTGGCCCTTAGCAAGGAATAGAATGAAAGATTCTGCTCCCATGCAGTATAAAAATGTGGGGCATAGAAGTATCTTATGTTTTGGTTTTAAAAGCAAGGCAACTCTCAGTTGTTCTGCTTTAATAGGTATCTGTCACCATAAGGCAGCTGCAGCCTGATGTTTTATTTCTGGATGTCAGAATAGCTCTTTGTGTATGTTGATTCTAGTTTGTTTTCCCAAATAGCAGGGAAAAGGAATATAAGAATAATTTAAATCAGATAGTCCAGTGCTTCGGTGTAGTTCACTTCTTTGGCTTTATTTTCCAGGAACCTGAAGATGAAGTGTTTCTTGCTATTGCTAAAGCAATGGAGGAGATGGTGGAGGATCCCATAGAATGCTATTGGCTTGTCAGTTGCTTTGTCAATCAGCTGAACAGCAAGCACAAAGATTCGTTACAACAATTGGTAATGAAAAAATACTCTTTTTTCTTGTGAGGAGAGCTATAAAGGAGAGAGGAGAAAATCATAGAAAGCATTAATATATGGAGACAGCTGGAGCATCAGAGGTTACACCTTTGGGAAATGGGAACAGTGCTTTTTGCATTGAGGTTGTACTGTCTTGTAGAACACTTTGTCTTAACATAACATTAGAAATTGGTTTTGTTTGCTATGTGGTAGTTTTTAATTACATCTTATTTTCTTCTTAGGTCAGCTAACACATTGTATCTAATTGAATTATATTTCTCACAAATTGGTCACTTAAGAATTTTCCTTATTTTAAACACTTAAAGATGTCACAGAATTAAGAACATCTGGATGTACGTTTGCTGTTTTTTAGGCTGCATCTCTGGCAGATGAGATGCAGCCTAAATCCATGTGCTGCTTGTTGGGTGATAGATAAAGCACAATTGTTTTGCTTTATAAATGGAGCAGGGTACTACATCCTCAAAAAACCCAGGATGTTGCAAATTAAGTTATAATACAAAGTAGAATAGAGTTCTTTTGGCACTGATCACTTAAATGCTCTCATAGAATATTAATTTTGAATTGATATCTTTCTGGTTTATTAAATTAAAATTTGATTGTAAAGAAAATGCATACTGATAGAAACTTGCTTCTGGAATTCCTTCTGAAGGACAGAGGAGTGTTTTTAAAGTAAGTATGTGCTTTCACTACATAGGGAGTGCCAAATGTGTCCTTCCTTAAGTTTTTGTTTTAATATTCACATTGTACCAAGACCCTGGATGTTAGAACATGGATAAAGGAAGAGGTTTTTGTCCTTTGACAGCTGAAGTCATTAGCTGTTTACCTAATTATGCCAAAAGCCATCAAGGCACTCCAGAATTTATGAAAATGTAGGTTGTGTAATATTAGAATTTAAAAAAAAATGAGAACTATTCATTTTTCAGCTCCATTTTATGCTGTTCTGTTGGCCTTTCTAAATACTTTGGACTTTCAAACAAGAAATCAGTGTCCAGCTTTTAAATATATTGTACGGGGATTTACTCTTGGAATTGATTTTCTGGGTTTTGCTGCATTGTGTGTAGATTTTTTGTGTGTGTGTGTGTGTGTGTGTATGCTAAGGCAATTAGCTTTGAGGTGAATGAAACTCAGTTTTACTTGTGAAGGTAGCAGTAATTAGTGCAGGTTTAATCTCTGCATTGCCTTAAGCTCTCAAACACCTCCTTGCATTAGGGAATACTGGATATTTTAGAAGTGTTCTGCTAGTGGTCAGCAATTTAAGGAACTTGGGGTTGTTTATTTAGTACTTAATTAGCTAATTGCAAAAATCAGCATGGAACATTGTATTTTTTAGTTAAAATAATGCAAGTTCACTATTTTAACATGCTGTTTTATTTGAATTTTTTTATTTTTTAAGATAACTATGTCTTAAAATGTGTGTTAACTATGGAGGGCACTCTGATTCGAGTTACTTAGAATTTTCCCATTCCTTTCTCAGCCAAAAATGCTGGAGCAGTATTTGAACCTTGAAGATAACAGACTCCTAATGCATCTGAAAGCATGTGCTGCGATGAGCAAACTTCCTTATGATCTTTGGTTTAAAAAGTGTTTTGCAGGCTGTTTGCCTGAGTCCAGTTTGCAAAGGCAAGTTCTTTTTCTTTCTACTTTCTTTCTACTTTCTTTCTACTTTCTTTCTACTTTCTTTCTACTTTCTTTCTACTTTCTTTCTACTTTCTTTCTACTTTCTTTCTACTTTCTTTCTACTTTCTTTCTATTACTAATTATAGAGTAATTTTAGCTTTTTGTCATCACTAGCAGGCAAGGAACTCTCCTTACTTTATCTGTAAGATTATGGAGTTAACTTCATTTTTGACTTGAAAATGATGAAATTAGATTTGATTCCACTTGTTACTGATGCAAGACAATCTGTGTCATCGTTTCTCAGATGGAAATTAAGAAAGGATGGGGTTAAATATAGCAACTGCTTCAACTGCTTCTGTTAGACACTTAATGCCCCCTAGGAATTAAAACTCCAAATCCCCCCTTAGTGACAGGTAGCTGAATGGTAGTCAGTTTTCAGGCTTTTTAACCAAAATCCTTGCTTAGGGAGTGATTATAACACTGTATTATCATTAGATGGAAAAGATGTTGGGAATGTTTATTTTAAAAAGTACTAGGGCAGGTTGAGTATTACAGTGTTAATGAAATAGTGCATTGTATCAGGATTCTACAGCTAGAAATAGGCTGTCCAGCTTTTAAAAGGGGAAAATTCTTCTGCATGGCATTTCATGCCTAAAGGGCCTTTGAAATGAAGCTTGTATGAATTCTCTAATTGTCTGAGAACTCGGGGAAAGGAGACAATTCAAGCTAGATGTAGAGAAGCAATTCCTTCCTGCATTAACAAGAGTTGTTAATAGCTGAGTAGGAGATGGCACAAAGTAAACAATGTTTTTTGTTTTCAGCCACCTTAAAACTTTGAGAAGTAACAAGATTCGGAGGAAGTTTT